GGAGAGAGAGGGAGAGAGAGAGAGAGAGCGAGAGCTCCAGAAACAGAGGCGAGCACGGGAGGAAGGAGACGAGCGCGACGGCCTTATCCAGACCTTTTCGGTCAAGTGTTGGCCGAAAAGCTTTTCGGCCGCTGGTAGGCCGAAAACGGGCCTTTCCGGCCATGCGTAGGCCGAAACTACTATTTTTGGCCTGCCCGTCACAGACGCCACCTCTTCGGCCCAAGTAGGCACCTTTTCGGCCCAGGCACGGCCGAAAACCCCTTTTCGGCCAAACCCTGGCCGAAAACTCCCTCTTCGGCCAACACGAGGCCGACAGGGTCATACTTTTGATTTATTTATTTATTTGCATTGTCTGCTATAGTTTCTGAAATTGCTATAAATAGAGTGATAGTTTTGAAAAAAAATCCGTGATCTAGTGGAAGCCATGTTGGGTACAAGTTGCACCAAACCATGGGGATGTCCCAAGTGTTTGACGACGGTTTAGTCAGGGCCATCAGGAGGCTCGAGGAGGCCCTGCAGCTGCAGTGGGCCACTATTAGTCCCGAAACAGTGCAGCTGCAGTGGGCCACTTCCCTGTGCCCACCAAGATCAACACAGGGGACTGTACTTTGCTATTATATTTCAATTCCTTCAGCTCACTGGAGATACACTGAACTACCCAACAGGTCAAGATCCTTTCAACATAAATTCACGGCCAAGACTAGAAAAGAATTTGAATCTCTGTAGGGTTTTTAAACTGCTTCAACACTCAGACAGGAAACCAAGCCACCGAGAAAGATCGACACAGGGAACTGTCTTTGCTATATTCCGCATGGTCGCATGTTAGACTATTTCAATTCCTTCAGCTTGCTGAAGATGCACTGAACTACCCAAGATGTCAAGATCCTTTTTTGAATATAAATTCACGGCTAGGCAAATTTTGCTCTGGAAACCAGGACATACCGTCCACACCAAATGACCATTGCCATGAAAAAGAGTTAAAATCACCGAGTTCATGACTTGGAAAAGAACTTGAAGCTTTCTAGTTCTTTTTACTGCTTTAACACTCAGACCAGAGTTGATTACACACACATGCATGTATGACAGTCACTGCCAAACAGTTCTACAAACAAAAGACTTTTGGCAACAGCAGAAACAGTTTCATCCGATTTGAATCTGATATCCGAGTGAAATTCAGGTAGCTTTCTACTAGTTTCCGTGTATAGGGGAAAATGAAATGGACACAAGTAGCATCCTTGGGGCCAACTCTAATCAATTCAACTACGAGTTGCTGATTCTACAACCTACAAACTGATAACAAATTTATCTGCCATGACCACATGCCGCTCTGTGTTACGGAACACCAAGAACAGTTCTATTATAAAACAATATTTCAGGGAAATAGACAAAAGAAAACAATTCTTGTAATACATTGTTAAAAGGGCATGGATTTTACTCCTACAGTATCAGCATGATAGATGCGGAAAAAATAACAACCAGTTCCGTATAGCTAGTCCATCAAGGCACCAGCCGCCTAATATCGGGAACTGAACACAAGTATACCAAGTCACTGACAAGCACCAAAAGAGCTAGGTGCGAATATATCCAAATTTTAGTTAAAGCACTCCGTATACAAGCTAAATCATTCTATTAGCTGGCCATATGCAGCAAGAACCACCCTGGGAGAAACACATGCTCAAAAAATCAAAAGCTTCTGCAATAAATAAACAAAGACAATTCCCAAAACTTGCTAGTAAAATAGTACTATGTGTACTAGAGGAGTCTTATTAGATACACAGATGCATATTAAGAATTCCATTTTACTATAATATTATATTATGACTAGTTTCAAGATTCCACCAAGGCATCAACTGCTTAATATTGCAAACCAAAATGCAAATTATAACAAGTCACAACTAAGCCAACAGAAAATACAATTATAACAAGTCACAAAACTGAAGAGATTGTGCAATAAAAAGAAATGGGAAATAAGAAAAATTGCACTCTTAAAAAGAAGAGGTTGTGCAGTAAAAAAGAGGAAAACAAGCGAGTTGCTATCGTCAATTACCAGATCTTTGCTAGATGTATGTATAAAGGGAGTAGAAGTGCATGTTCGAAATTCAGTTTATTCAAAGGTCATTATAGATACTTCTCCAGGCACAAAAGGTACATACAAACTAGGGAGCCCTGGTTTCTCTCAACAAAGGATGAACACAAACAGAATAATGAGCCCTAGCAGCCAATGCAACATAGCAGTATTCCACAGAAAGTTTGCAGCAGATGAAAATCCAAACTTGCATAAAACTCATTAGGTTCAGCATTGTGCCGTTTGGCCCTTCACCATGGCGAGAGTGCACGGAGTGTCTTCCTGCGAAACATGTAATGCATCATCGATGCTAGAGATCTGAAAAACAAACCATGGAAGAAGGTATATTTGTTGAGCCAGCAACGCTCACCGTTAGGGCTCAATATCAGCCAGTGACGACCTCTAGCCCATGAAAGGGACAGAGTGGCTGCTATGATGTGCACCAGGATGCGGCTCTTTCTCCAAAATGACATTGGCCGGCGCCAACGTGACAGTGGATGATGGTGGTGCTGTTTGCCCCGATGCTAAACTTTGCTTGACGGCCTCAATTAGATCAGGCCACATTTCCATGACTTGGGCTGTCGCCATGGCTTTGGCTTTCACCTCGACTTCCTCTCTCATTTCTTCTTTAAGTTCTTCTCTCATTCCAGCCAATCTGGATTCGAAACTAGCTCGGCCGGCTCTCCTTCTCTGCCTTGCAAGCTCGCGGTCTTCGGGATAATGCCTGTCCCATTTTTCGTTGAGCCCGACGCCGTTCACACGACCATAAGCCGGCCTCGTTTTCGGGTCCTTGCCGAGCACCACGTTGATCGACCTGTTCAGAGGGTCGTCCCACCTTGCCGAGGACTCTGACTCCTGGGAGCTTTGAGATTCGACATGATACTGCCTCTACAATAGGGAGCTGACCATTTAGAAATGTGACTACTCGGAAAGAAATCTACTTAACAAAAAATAAGCAGGTTAATCAATTACCAGGAGTTCCTTGACTTTCGCCGTTTTCTCGTCCAAGACCCATGTCTTAGTCGCTTCATCATATTTGCACCGGCCCCTGATGTAATCATTTTCACGCGGGTTTTCAAATTCCTTGAAGGGGTTTGGTATGCCTGCTGCAGCAAACTCAGCGTCCTGCTTGTCCCACTTCGGCTTCTTCCCTGGGTAACCACGGCTTCCAAGGGTGTGGTTACCAATGTTCCTTGCCCGCATTTCCTTCCCCCATTTTTCCATCTCCTTGACTTCAGGGGTCTCGCAGTGCTGCTTGAACAGGTTCCAGTCCTCCTCAGAAACCGAAGGCCACTTCTTTTTTATCTCGGTTTCGTAATCTTTCTCAAGGTATTCACTTTTGGCTTTGGATTTCCATGTACTCAAAAGCTTGGTCCACTTGCAGAGGGCTGTGTTATTTACCGGAGTGGTCTCGTCTAGGGACTCATCCGGGAACTTGTAATGAGTGTGCAACTTCGATATGAGGAGTGCTCGCAAATTCTCGTTGGCTTTCGACCGGAGATTGGTTTCATTAATGCTCACGGTTTCGCGAAGGATGCAGCCTAGGCCATTACTGTAACCTTGTTCGGCCTTCTTGGGACTAAGAGGTAGACCCACCTCAGACACTCGGTTGATAACAATCCTATCGGTGCCAAGCATGTTTCGGCGCCTAGGTTTCCGTTGCTTTTTAGGTTGTCCAGCTGCCTGGTCCCCTTGGCCGGTCCCTTCGTCGCGATCGGTCGCATCTTCAGGATTTGTGGCGGTGCCAGACTCATCATAAACAGTGGATGTGTAGTCATCCTGCCCATCCATGTATGTGCCCAAGGCGTCGGGACCGCCATGACGTGATGACGGTTCTACAGCCTCATCGCTCGCGCTTATCGTCCGTGAAGAAGAGGCTGCGGCGGAGTCGTTTCCAGACATATCTGTAAATTGTCAAATAAAAGAATTAAGCTACAAAAAATGTAACTACATACAAAAAATGCTATAGAATCTATAATTACTGAAAATTTCTCAGAACTAAATATTTGCTAGGAACTAGAACTAAAAATCCCCCTATTATCGGATTGGATTGTCCTTGTGTTATCAATGGCTTAACCATATAATGCTCTGCAGGTGTCTTCAGCTGGGACAGATAGCAATCAGTTGGGCTTTGGGCTATAAGGATGTTATTCCATCTAGTTTCAGTAGGCTACTAAGACATGTCATGTCCATATCTTTAGTTGAAGATTTATCTACAGCTTCAAGCAGTGGGACCTAATCATGAACTAGATAATCTCATTGTAAGAGATTTTCTGGATGACTCCTGAGGAAATAACTAGCAGCAGTTATGATAGCCCTTTTCACCAAAAGTACGAATTAGGGGGGACTTACAATCCGGTGATGCCTCCATGTGAGTTGGTTTTTTGTCACCCTGCAACCCTATCTATGCCTACACCTCTACCACTGTACAGCTACAGGTCTCTAGGTAATCTATTCGGTAGTACTGTACAGCTACACCTCTACTAAACGCTCTGTTCCAGCGCCCAGTAACCATATTACCGCGCAGCTACAAGTCTTAGCTAATCTACTCGGCGATTAACTACCGATGTGGAACTAGAGTCTTGTACTTACCGGAGTGCCCACTGGTCGGCGCATTCCCCCTGCTACAGGCGCGCATGAGTAGAGGGCGCTGGGGCGACGGCAACGCGGTCTCCGATGCGTGCGCCCTCCTACTCCTCGTCTCCGGCACCATGACAGGATAGTCGCCTGCTGCAGCAAACTCAGTGTCCTGCTTGTCCCACTTTGGCTTCTTCCCTGGGTAACCACGACTGCCAAGGGTGTGGCTACCAATGCTCTTAGCCCACATATCCTTTCCCCATTTTTCCATCTCCTTGACTTCAGGGGTCTCACAATGCTGCTTGAACAGGTTCCAGTCCTCCTCGGAAACCGAAGGCCACATCTTTTTTATCTTGGTTTCGTAATCTTTCTTAAGGTATTCGCTTTTGGCCTTGGATTTCCAACTACTCAAAAGCTTGGACCACTTGCAGAGGGCTCTGTTATTTACCGGAGTGGTCTCGTCTAGGGACTCATCCGGGAACTTGTAATGAGTGTGCAGCTTCGATATGAGGAGAGCTCGCAAATTCTCGTTCGCTTTCGACCTGAGATTGGTATCATTAATGCTCACGGTTTCACGAAGGATGCAGCCTAGGGCATTCCTGTAACCTTGTTCGGCCTTCTTGGGACTAACAGGTAGACCCGCCTCAGACACTCGGTTGATAACAATCCTATTGGTGCCAAGCTGGTTTCGGCGCCTAGGCTTGCGTTGCCTTTTGGGTTGTCCAGCTGCCTGGTCCCCTTGGCCGGTCCCTTCGTCGCGATCGGTCGCGTCTTCAGGATTTGTGGCGGTGCCGGAGTCGTCATGACCCGTGGATGTGTAGTTGTTCTGCCCATCCTTGTATGTGCCCAAGATGTTGGGACCGTCATGACGTGACGACAGTTCTACAGCTTCATCACCCATGTTTAGCATCTGCGAAGAAGAGGCTGCGGCGTAGTTGTTTCCAGATATATCTACACATTGTCAAATAAAAGAATTAAGCTACATAAACTGTAACTACATATAAAAATGGTATAGAATTACTAAAAAATATCTATGAATTTATAATTACTAAGAATTTCTAGGAACTAAATATTTGCTAGGAACTAATTACCTATGAACTAGAATTAAAAGAACCCTTTTATGGGATTGGATTGTTGTTAGGTTATCTATTGCTTGATCATATAATGCTCTGCAGGTGTCGCAGCTGGGAGAGATAGCAATCAGTTGGACTTTGGGCTATAAGGATGTTATTCCATATAGTTTCACTAGTAGGCTACTAAGACTTGTCATGTCCATATCTTTATTTGAAGATTTATCTACAGCTTCAAGCAGTGGGACCTAATCACGAACTAGATAATCTCATTGTAAGAGAATTTCGGGATAACTGATGAGGAAATAACTAGCAGCAGTTATGATAGCCCTTTTGACCAAAAGTACCAATTAGGGGGTACTTACAATCCAGTGATGCCTCCATGGCTCTGTTTAACTGCATATCGTTTTGTACCGAACTTGCCAGATGCTGGAATCTGCTCTTGACATCCTCATTAACCTTACCTGTCAGAAACACCATCAATTGGGCATTTCAGCAGAACATATACTTCTGAATATATCATGACAATTTGACAGCTTTATTCAAAGATTTATCTACAGCTTCAAGCAATGGGACGTAATCACAAACTAGACAATCTAATAGTAAGATATTTTCCAGAAAACAGCTTGGGTCATCTTAAAATCAGAAGGATATATAAATATCATACATATGAGTTGGTTTTTTGTCACCCTGTAACCCTAGACAACTATGCCTACACCTCTATCACTGTACAGCTACAGGTCTCTAGGTAATCTATTTGGTGATTACTACTACCGACGCGATGCGGGACTAAAAAGATTTATTTACAGTGGTAGTACAGTCTTCCACTTACCGGAGCGGCCACTGGTCAGGGCCTCCCCCCTGGTTCCGCCGCGTGTGAGTCGAGTGCGCTGCAACGATGGCAACGCGGTCTCTGACGGGCATGCCTCCCTCGCCCTCCTTCTCGTCATCCGCGGAACGACGACAACAGGATCTTGGATGGGCGTGCCTCCCTCGTCCTTTCCGGTCGCTGCCTTTAACTGCACAACATCATTTTGTACCGAACTTGCCAAATCTGGTAATCTGCTCTCGACATCCTTATTAACCTGGCCTGTCAAAACACCATCAATTGAGCATTTCAGTAGAACATATACTTGATAATATATATCATGAAAACTTGACACAGCTTGAAGGAAATCTAGAGTCCACGTTTTCAACCGACGCGGGAGCACTATCACTTACAAAAACAAAAGGCACAGACCAGTCGACCTTACATGCCCAGTAAAGCCTGTCTGACACAAGGGCCTGACTTAATGCCATAAATACCACTACATATCCATACATACATATGACCCCTCCTTGAGGATGTAAACACCACTAACCACAGTGCCAGAGAAAATGTAACTTGCTCAATACTTACTATACGCATCAGAAGTTCAAACCAAGTATAAAAATGCCCCTTTTATGGGACTGGATTGCTCTTGGGTTGGTTATCTACGGCTGGCTTATAACCACATCAAAATGATGTGCAGGTGTTGCAGCTGGGAGAGCCAGCAATCAGTTGGACTTGCTGATGGCTATAAGGTTGTTGTCTTCCATCTAGTTTCAGCAGTAGGCTACCAAGTACGAATTATCACATCCATATCTTTATTTGAAGATTTATCTGCAGTTTCAAGCAGAGGGACCTAATCTCTCCCTAATATATATATATATATATATATATAATAATAATAAAGCACGGATTGGGTCTCCGGGTTCACCGTCATGGCGTTTTTACAAGAAAGACCCTACTGTTTTGTGCAATTAACCCGCACTCCAGAGGTAAGTTATTTCGTACAGTAATAAAAATACGAATTGTAATCGCTGTTTCACAGGACCCGGACGGATGCAATGCCCCCGTCGCCCCGAACCCACCGAGAGGACGAGGATGCCGAACTCAGGTTGCGGCGCTGGTCCGGGCCTCCGGGTCTCCGTGGGGATCGAACCGTCCTCCGGCGATCTCAGCTTCCTCTTCCTCGACACCTCCGCCGCCTAATAGAAAACAGAGGTGATGATCTCCGCCGGCCGGCATCCAGATCCCCGGCGACTGCGAGGTGGTCGGTGCCCACCCACTCCCGGCGGCCCTCCTCTTCGCCGCCGTCCGCGCCTCCCCCGCCCAGGAGCTCCTCCGCCTCTTTGCCGCCGCGCTCGTCAAGCTGATCCAGGCCAAGTCCTGGACCACTGGATCCAGAGTCTCCCGTTCGAGGAGAAGAGGCAGGAGCTGCTCTCTGGTGCTGATGGAGGGAAGGAGGAGCCAGCAATGGCACCATCAGGTGCTGATGCTCTCTGGTGCCGATAAAGGGGGCATCAACATCAGCAGGTGGTATTCAGGAGGTAGAGGGAGGACATGGCTGTACTGGGTGAGGGGGCTTCGCCGAGGATTGGTGGATGGATACTTCTCTGTGTCGTTGGCAGTGCGGGAGGGGATGGCCAGGAAGGGGGCTACCAATGGTGTGCTCTTGTAGGTGATTCTGAATTTCAGATACTTTTTATCAAAGATGTCTAACATCTTCATATTGTATCATTGCATATGTAGACATAACAACTGAATTGGGCATTAATATTGTATCACTTCCGCTGAAAATATTTGGAACATTTTAGTTTTAGTCAGAATAGTATGATGGGGCATATAGATCTCTCAAGCATGCACATATTCTTTGGTGTCATAAAAAGGAAGCTTCGATCGGATCACATCGCAAGTTCTGAAGATAAACAGTCCAATGTCGCCTCCGCCAACTTCGCGGGAAGACCATCCACCGTTCTGTCTGTAGACTTCGCTGCAAGACCATTCGCCGTTGCCTCCGCCGACTTTGCCGGAAGACCATCAACTGTCGTCTCCACCTACTTTGCCGCAGGTATCTTTTTCGTTTGCAAATTATGATGCAACTATTTTTTATTTACAAGCAGAGCTTACTGATGGTTATAGGATGAAAAACACATGCATATAAGTTGCAAGATTTTGAATAACAATTTCTATGTATATGTGCTCATGCACTTGTGCAGATGAACTCACTCACTCACATGGACTGTGGTTAATTAGAAGAGACAGTCACATGTGAGGATGAAAGCCTGGATCAGTTCCTGTAGTCGCTATCTTTGATTTACAACCGAGTTTTCTTATGGTTATGGATAGAAACTTTGTATTATTTTGCCATCTTCTTTCTTTTGTGAAACTAGCTGCAACAAGTAGCAATTTAAATTGATGTGAGGAAGTATCTATTCTTGATGTCCATCTGAAGATTTTTCAATGCTCAAAACATCAACCAAGATACAACAAATTCTCATGGTCAGCAATCTTACCGTTATAAAGTTTCAGTCATCCTTTTAGATAATTTTGTTTTAGTTTTCAATGTAACTCCCCAGTTAATAAGGCCTCAGCTCATTAACTTTCCATCTTCAGAAACGGTTGTAAGGTAGTAGTGGATGCTACAATTAATAATTACTTGTGCTCTGAGGTGGTGGCTCCTGAAAATGATGCACTATACTGTTGGTTCAAGACATCCTTGTGATTTTGAAGACGAAGAAGAAAGAGAGTTCTCTTACTTGCTGGATATACTATTAATAATTGCTTCTGCATTGAGTATCAGGTGTACAAGGTGCGCCAGTCCCTTGACTGTTTTGCATGCAATGATATGTTTGACATGCTTCAAAGAAAATACAAGAAACTTACTAAGTGGTCAAGGGCAGATTGTAAGACTTGCTGTAACTAGCTACCAATGTGACGTACTACTGGTCAGGTTTTACCACTCACCATCAATATGCTGATGGAGTTCTCCAATTCTGGAACAAATTCACCGTGCAAATGGTGTATCCTCCGTTTGTCAGAGGATTTGAGCATCGTTGGATAGATCAGGATGGGTTTCATATGTGAAATTTTGCTTAATGGATGCTCCAAGTTTCCTCTAATCAGCAGACCTATGGGATACAAACCTCTGTTTTCCCCTGGTACTCCTGATGCAGGAGCAACACTTCCAGTTTGATTGCCTAAGGGAAGGGTCTAGCTTCAATTGCTTCAGATTATTACATGTTTTTCGCGTTGAAGTGCAGTACATGGGGTTAACCGTGTCCAGAACTGAACTTTAGCAGTAGGGACAACAAAATTATCTGAAAAATACTGTATAAATGGTCATAGAATGCCAAACAGTTAAGAAAAACTGTAAAGAAATGCGAACCGAAAGGAAGGGGCAAATTGTTCTCTAATGTGAGAAGTCCGATTGAACTCTGTAGTGGTTATCTTATTTCTACTAGCTCTATGCTAACTTGCTTATATATGCAAGTTACTCTAAAGCAGCAGTATAAACAGGGTGATGTATCATGAAAATAGGGTCTACGTAGCATAACCTAATTTGTGTATCTTTTCTTCTACATTCATTTCTTTACTTTGGTCCATAAGTTTCTAGAGATCTTCTATTTGAAACAACCAACCTGTTCTTTTTTCTAGAATATATAAGTTGTATAACTGTACATATTTTAAATATATGTTGAAGCATTTGGTACCCACAGATTTTCCCGCAACTAATTGTGCATATTTGTCATGGTTGGATTTTGTTTAATATTGAAAACCTAAGATCAGAACTGTATACCGGGAGTCATGGTTAGAAGTTGAATAATAAGGGATGAAATAATTGATTTTGGGTCATAAATCAAATCAAATGTGATGATTTTTTCTCCCGTTGCAACGCACGGGACCTTTTGCTAGTAACAATGTAAACAATCTAACTGTAGGAGATTTTTTCTGGGAAAGAAAACAGTGGTAAATCACTTTGGCCATCTCTGTAATCACAAATAAAAGAAGCATCACCGGAGTAGGAGAAGAGCACTAGTACCGATTAATTTTATCTCCTGACTACTCCCCACTGGAACCCTACACACCTAACCTCTGTTATTGCGTAGCTACAGGTCTCCAGTTAATCTACTCGGCGATGCGGAACTAGAGAGTCTTGTCTTGTGCTTACCGGAGCGGCCACGGGTCGGCGCATCCCCCCGGCTTCCGGCGCGCGTGAGCCGAGGGCGCTGCGGCGGCGGCAGCGGCGGCGACGCGGTCTCCGATGCGCGCGGCTCCCTCGCCCTCCCGCTCCTCGTCTCCGGCGCCATGACAGGATAGCCCCTCGCCTCGGCCGGCCGGCCGCCCCGCGGCTTGGCGACGGACGGCGGGAGACCGGGGACGGAGAAG